ATACAAAGCAGAATGGCACCAGATAACACATGTGTATTATTCACGTACCCACTGACAGCGCTGGGAGCACAGGTAACTTCTTGGACCATTGTAATCACTCTGTACCCTCTTAGAATGAAGTTATAGAGAAATAATGGACTACATATCATATAGATACTCCCATTAATTAGGTAGGGTAGCATCTAAGATTTTTCTGACTATACTGGAAAGAAGCAAAAACTATTTGCTGTTTTAGAATATTCTAAAAATATTCCAAAAGGATACAGAGGCATAAATGAAACAAAGACAGAAGCAAAAACTACATGCTTAAGAAACAGGATTCCTGAAGGAAGAAGAAAGTATTCCTGTGCACATAGCATATGAGCTGTCTGGAAAATGAAGAAAACCCACTGAACATATTGGAGACTCTTACAAACATTACAACTCATTACTTGTTTCTTAATGAGGCAAGAGCTGAAAAAGCCCATTCTCAGAGCCGACTCTTTATTCTATATAGTTTCTAAGTTTTAACATATTAAACTGAAACAGATTCCCAATTCAAATTGTATATGCAGCAATTCCCAGCTAATTTCTTTGCTGACTCATACAGTCTGGAGGTGAAGGACTTGAATGTGACTCATTAAAAAGTTTCTTTACCCTTAAAATTGTTTATACCACTTTCCAGAATTTCTACATATATAACTTTATCCTAAAAAAATAAGATATACATGCAAATATATTTGTGTAAGCATAGTTTTTCTAGCCCTGACTTGTAATAATACTTGAAAACATAAAATGTTCATCAGTGGGAAGTGAATCCCTAAGTTATAATACCCTTATGATAGGATAGCCTGGGGTCCATAGGAAAGAGATCTTAAGAGCAGGTTGACATGCTAATCCTTGTTGGAAGGTGTACTTCCAGGGCAGCAAGCCTGAAGCACAAAGGAGTGAAGCAAAGAAAAAGGAGAAGCACATGTATAGTGATGTTAAAGCATTGTCTATGACTTGCCTTTAGACTCGGGGGGAATTTATTCCTTGACCCTAATCAGTCTCTTGTTTACCCCGGTCAAAGTTCATCCCCCAGGGAGTTAACTCCTCCAAACCGCTCTGTTGTATCCCTGGCTCTTCCTTCACTCAGTAGGGAAGCCACATTCTGCATACTGGGTGTGCTTCATCAGGTTTGGAAATGGTGAGATGAACCAGAGACTATAAGCATGTGGCCAGTTGGTCTCCATAGTCTCTCCAATGAAGTGGCTGAGACTGAGTGGGGCCAGAAGTGTGAGTGGACAGTTGGGCTGAAAGAATTTGAGGAGGCACATAAGATCTGAACATTAAAACAGACAAAATACTCTAAAAAAGGTGTGGGGGGGTGGCGCCTGGGTAGCTCAGTCATTTGAGTGTCTGACTCTTGATTTTGGCTTAGGTCATGATCCCAAGGTTGTGGGATTGAGCCCCATGTCAGGCTCTGTGTTGTGTATGGAGCCTGCTTTATATTCTCTCTCTGTTTCCCTTTGTCCCTCTCCCCTGCTCGTGCAGGCATATGTGCACATGTGCTCTCTCTCTTTCTCTCTGTCTCTAAAAAAAAAAAAAAACAACAAAAACAGACATAAAAATCAAATGAAAAGCAGATTGATACATTCACAATATAATGGTAAGAAAAAAGAAGGTGGGGTGTGTATTTAATTTGTTACTGTTTTTATAAGTCTATACACATACATGAGACTAAAGGGAGAGAGAGGGAAAGAAGAAAATACTAAAAAGCATACAACAAGTCCTCATTATGTAGTTATCTATAGAAGGTAGATTCACAAACTTTAGAGATTTTTTTCCCATTGGGATTTTTTGTGCTTCTCATGACTTTGTGTGAAACATGAATTGCTTGGTGTTATGAAAATGAATCCTGTATGAGAGTAGAGATTTATCTGTAGGGTGGTTCAGTATTCAGTTGTTATAATAATAATAAAACATATGCTAGTTATAATAACAAAATGAAAACTCAGAGATTCAGCAGTCTCGTGTATCATATTAATGAGAATATATCTTGCTCCTTTAATATCCTGAAGTCTGCATAATTGTTTAAAAGTATTCACTGACATGAAAAGTATTTATAACTTATTGTTTGATGAAACAAAAGCAAGTTACAAAAACTATATACTTGACGTTATCATACATTTAAAAAATATTTTGATTCTATAAGAAAAAAACATCTTGGGGAGACTCCCAGTTAGGAAAAGTAAATATGGTAAAATTGTAAATTGTTCTCAAATTACACATAGTTAATGCAATTTCATTCAGAATCTCCCTTTTTTAAATTGGAAAAAAAACATTTTAAACACATGAAACACATGAAAAACACATGAAAGAATGCATTGGGGCGGCTGGGTGGCTTAGTCAGTTAAGCGTCCGACTTTCACTTAGGTCATGATCTCACGGTTCGTGGGTTCGAGCCCCGCGTTGGGCTCTGTGCTGACTGCCAGCTCAGAGCCTGGAGCATGTTTCAGAGTCTGTGACTCCCTCTCTCTCTGACCCTCCCCTGCTCACGCTGTCTCTCTCTCTCTCTCCTAGAAATAAAAAAAAAAATTAAAAAAGAAAAAGAATGCATTTACAAAATAGAACATGTTAATTATTTGCATAAAATCCTAAAGTCAAAATGGTATGAAAGAGGGATAAGAACAGAAGAATAGAATATTGAAGCAGAAAAGAGTCTGGGAATAGATCTAAGCATGGTAAGGCCTTAACATGTTACAAGGAAGCCTTTTAAATTCAGTGGTAAAATGATGGTTGATATAATAAATGGTGATACATACTTAGATATCTATCTGGAAGAATAATGTTGGATTTCTACCTCATAGCTTATTTAAAATACATTCCAGATCGATTAAACAGCCAAGTACAAAAAGTAAAGCAATAAAAACATTAAAAACTTTAGGGAAAGGTTTATGTAACCTTAGGGAGGGAGAGAGATTCTGAATGAGATGGGAAACCCAGAACTAGATAGAAAAAGGATTGGCAGATTTAACTGCATATTAATATAGTTTTTCTTAATGGGAAACAACACAGTTAACAAAGAATGGAAACAACTTATAGGCTGGAGAAAGTATTTGCAATATTTATAACAGACAAGGAGCTAGTAATTTCTAACTGCAAAGTAAGACCTACAAAGAACTAAGAAAAAAATAAAATAATGTGAAAACAGATTTCATAAAAAAGAAAATAAAAAATACCAACGAAGCACACGAAAAAAATGGTGAAGACTGTTGCAAACCAGAATCAAACAGTGAGAAGTCACCTTTAAACTATTAAAATAGCCAAATGAAAAGTTTAGCAAGGATTGAATACTGGCAGTTATATGGGGAAGCAGATGGCATTTTACGTTGCTACTAGTATTTCCTCACTTTTGGGAATTGCAGCATTGTTCAAAAGGGGGAAAAAAGATAAACCAAAACAAACAAGCAAACAAACCCTACAGATAAGCTGAAATGCATTAGTAAGAGAATTTAAAAGATTAAAATATGGCACATACATACTGTAGACTATTATGAGGTTATCATGAAGAATAAATTAGATTTTGATGCATAGCCCTTGAACCCATAGGGGAAGTATATGGTTCAGAAGACTCAGGTTAAAATTATACCTCTGTACATTATCTAAGATCCAGAAAAATATTTATTAATTGATTGACAGTATAAAAAAGGACAAGATTAGGGCACCTGGGTGGCTCAGTCGGTTAAGCGTCCGACTTTAGCTCAGGTCATGATCATGTGGTTTGTGAGTTCTAGTCCCGCGTTGGGCTTTGTACTGACAGCTCAGAGCCTGGAGCCTGTTTCAGATTCGGTGTCTTCCTCTCTCTCTGCCCCTGCCCAGCTCACGCTCTGTCTCTCTTCCCTTCAAAAATAAATAAATATTAAAAAAGGAAAAGATGGCATGTCATCTAGAAAAAGGGATGATTAGGTGAGCTGATAATAGATGTATTAAATAAGCAAGGATTGTAAAAGAAGAAATAAAGGCAGAGTTAGAATCCATCTGAAAAAGCAAAAAGCAGAAGTGATGTGTAGAAAACTTAATTACTGACTCAGATGACAATATTGGGAACCACTTCCAGTGTGGAAAGTATTGAAAAAGAACATAATAATAGTGGGAGATAGAGACTACATGTACTGTATAGCAAATTGGTCTTCCATTTAGAGAGGAAAGAACAAATGAATAGAAAAATATTTGAAGATAATAGAAATTTGTTGTAATTTGGAGAAAAAAATAATTGTGGATACATATATATAAAATGCCTCATGATCTTCCAGTCAAAATTGTGAAAAGTAATTGACCATTAAATACATATTGCTAAAAATTTAAATCTGTAATGATAAAGAATATTGCTACTGGCAGTCATCCAGGAAAAAAAGCATCACCTAGGAAAGGAACAAAAATTAGTTTGGGCATTGGTATATAGAGTTTAGAAACTTGATACACTATTGACCCTACTCTGTAGGGAAGACATAATTGATCAGATAATGACAATTAAAAGTAATATTTTAACTCATTTGTGATATTCTAATGCAAAATAGTGGGAATTGAACCAATTTGAGAGTATATGAAAACATATGAAGAAAGGGTTGAAAACATGCAAAGAAGAGTTCATTACAGGAAGTAAAAGAACTCATGAGGTAAAGGGGAAGCTGGAATGGCAAGTGCAAAGACCCGGGATGAAAAGATTAGCATTGTGGTCAGAATGGAAAGGAGATAAAATGAATGAAAAAACAAAAATATCCATCATGAAGCATCACCACGGGCTGTCACTGTAAATAGCAGGGAAATTAAAATTTGTTAGACTGATTTTATATGTGTATATATATGCACTCACTATTTGTTAATCGATTTGAATGCCTCCATACATTTGATGAATTTCTAGGATAAAAAATTCTTGCTAGCTTGATTCATGGAATGGTCAAAAACCCTAAAAAGAAAAAACTCCCAGAAGGTGACAGTCCCAAACAATGTCATAGACAAATTCATTGTCATTATAGGACCAATATTTAAAGCATCCCAACAAACAGACAAAGGAGGAAGACTTCAACAATGTATTTTCTGATGGAAGTCTAACACTTAAGTTAAAACTGAACACTAACAAAAGTAACAAAGCAAAGAATAATCTTTCTTCAGATGCTGCAGTAAAAGTTCTAAAGAAAGGAATTGGAAAAGAAATTCTGATTCTGAAGAAAGAAATTACATCCGGTTATATTTTAAAGAAAATACTTACTAAAAGAAGAATGCACTACAATGAAGTAAGTGACATCTGGTAATAAAAAGGTCAATTATGGAAATTATTAATGTAATTAATTTCATTGCAAGCGTAGAAAGTAATATTTTCTTAATCTCTGTCATTTGCTCCCCTTTTATTTCATTTACTTCATTCACTCTTGATATCATTCATTCTTCATGTATTCACTTCACAGCATAACATTTTTTTCTCTTCTTTGGAGTTCCACACATTATATTTAGGGAGAGAATAAAGGGGGACATGCATATTAGGAGACAGTGGTTTCTGTAATGGTACTCATGACATGCCATGTGATGAAGACACTACCGCCAGCACGATGGTGGCACAAAAAGGGGTGGGCCTGGGTCTGCTAAGCTGGAGGGTAAGTGTGTGGGAAGAAAATGAATTCTTCACATCGGAGGGGACACCTCAGCTGCAGCCTTAAAAATGTGTGGGGCACCTGGGTGGCTCAGTGGGAAGACCATGTGACTCTTGATCTCGAGGTCATGAGTCTGAGGCCCATTTTGGATGTGGAGATTACTTAAAAACAAAAAAAAACAAACAAACTTCTAAAAAAATGTGTGCAGCTTGCTGGGAAAGGTGCAGGAAACACATGCATGGGCACCGAGGTATAAAATGGCATGACTATTTGGATTGTACATCACTGAGGTGTGGTGGTGAAGGGGAGCAAGGAGGTGAGAGGTAAAGGGTTTCAGTTACGGGCCCTGGGAAACCTGAATCCTTACGTAGGCTAAGATATAGGAGGAAGCTGTTGACAGTGGCAACAGTGGGGAGCCAGGGTGACATGGGAGGGTTTGGGAGGCATTTACAGTGTGGGAATTAAGGGTGGCTCTTCTGCCATAGGAGACTTGCTCTAGGTGGAGGGCATTATGGAGAGGTTGAGGAAATGCCCATCAGAAATGCTTTGTTTTTTTCTCAAACCTTATAAAGCACCAGCTACCTTTAATTTAAGAAAGTAGTAGAATTGCAGTGACTCGGGGTTGTGAGCTGTGAACATCGCTTATCATGTCTGGTTGAGAGATTGCCAGAGAACAGAGCATTTGTGTTTGTTCCAACAGATCATGCTTTCCTTTCCTGGTGATGGTACTTTAATGAGAAAATTAGTGCGCATGTATATTATCTGTCTGCTGGATCATTATGCGAATGTGCCTGTTATTTAAAATCCCCAATATATCAGATTCATAAAAAAGTGATAAGTGGCAGATAATTCATTTTGAAGGCCATTAAGCGGTGCAATTCACAGTCTCTCTTTTGAAGGTAGAAAACACTTTTGAATAATGCCATTTGTGGATTTTCCTCTTCCCAGTACTTTTTGTACTTTTCTACCCTGAGGAGGAGCATAAGTCTCATATATACATATATATACATATGCCTTCTGCTCATATATATACATGTATGTATGTATACGTATATGTATATATATACATATATACACATTTATATGTGTGTGTATATATATATATATATTTTCATGAGAGTAGTAGTGTTAGTGCAATACGAGTGCAGGTAACCCAGGCATTTGAAGCTGGCAATTGAATTTTTCCCAAAAAAATCTCCTAACACCAATCAACCCGGGATAGACAGGAAATCCAACAGTTGAGTGCTCGAGGGGTAAACATGAGGATTTGTATCCTAATTTAGCACTTTTGTTCTGTTCCTGCTTTATCCAGAATTTGTTCTTAGCAACCCCCATCTCATCCCTCTGCCCTTATCTCCTGGCTCTAGTTATATTCAAAAAGCATCAGCAAGAGGGAAGTTATCAATAAAGGCCTGAAACCATACTTTACAAGGTTGTACCAACTTGTGCCCCATGAATTGAGACAGATTAATGTCAGTGAGAACACACTGCATACGTAATAAGAATATTTTGTAAAAAGGAGCTGATAATCTGCTACTCACTCATTTTTAGGAACTGTTGTATAATTCATGTGGCTTTTGCATATTATTCATTGAATTACTGAATAAAGGATTCCTGTACATCAGATAAGATACATACTGAAACCGAAGAGAGAGTAAGAAATGCATTTTTCAGTTTTGTCCCAATACCAGTAGTCAGTTTATTTGAATGATAAAAGGTAGATAACATTAATTTGCCAACAAAAAAAAAGATTAAAATCAATATGGTTGGAATTGTAAAACTAGCAGAGATCTCAGTTTGTAGACAAGCTGAACAGGGATGTCAAGCATATGGAGGACAAATCATTTGCTATTTCTCTGAGATGGTAATATTTTCCAATGAGCAAATAGCTACAGTATTCAGTGTCAGCAGAGGGAATTGCTGTTTTACTGCGGTAATGAATCATTTAGGCTGAGGAGGCTTCAGGTACGTGAGTCACATCTGCTGTTGCATGGACTTCATCTGCTCAGCTCAGATGCCTCCTGTTTTCCTGGGGGATTTCAGGAAAAGGCTTTTGGCCAGGGATACTCTGCATCTTTTCACCTGTCACTGTAGTGGGACAGTAGTGGGAGAAGGAATCCGCCTACAAGTGTGATTTCTGGAAGGGAAGCTGAGGAAATCCTCTTATCCTTTGCAAAATCAGAAAATGAATTTCTCTCCCAAGAGACTGCTGGAGCCAAAGTTCTGTCACTGGGCTTCATGCTGTGACTTGGGGCTTTATTAATAAGTTACAAGATCTTCAAAAGAGTTTCTGTCTTTTAAACATCGTTGTGCAAATGTTCATTGAATTATATCCCTGAATTCGATGATCATAGGAAGAAAGAATAGAAGGAATATGGAGGAATTGAACTGGCTGAGGCAAAAGAGACTTTATCCATAAGGAATATAGATTAAACCAACCTCAGTAATAACTTCCATTAACACTTACCAAGCATTGTTCTAGTGGCCATATACATAATTATCTTATTGAATCCTCACCAAATCCTAACTCTGAGCAATTCATATATATTATATCATATAACATATATGTTATGTATAAGCAATTCATATATATATATATATATATATATATATATATATAAAATAGGTGAAGGGCTAATAAGTTACGTGACACACCCAAGTTCAGTGAACAAATGAATGGTGGAATTGAAATCTGGATGAGGGTTGGCCATTTCTTGACATGGACAAGGATCCACTATGCTGTCCAGCAACTTTGACAAGGTCTATCTCAGTTGGGATCTTCCATGCTTTCCTTGATCATTCTCTGCCTAGTGTCACCAGGATATCTGCCCAGGTCATCAAGGACCCAGGGACACAGTTCTGTCACTAGTTTAATGTGTGATCTTGAGCAAGTCATTCAGATATTTTGTCCTATTCCTTCAATTGTAAAATTGCAGTGGGACAAGATCAGTCGTGCTTAACGTCTTTGAGAGTCATAGACCCATGTGAATGAACTTTCACACAAAATTTTGTTCATGGTTTTATACTCTTATGAACTTCCTGAAATTTGGGTCAGGCTAAGCATGTCTGGGTTAAACAGTCTATTATTCTTTGATGAGGGTTGCTGGTTTAGACTTTTCACCTTAGAGTTTTGGAGAGGTAAGGGGTCATGGGCTAGGTAAAATGTCAAAGAATAAGGAAAATGTGAACCTAATATAATTAAAAGGAAGCTAACTGTCTACATTTCTGTAAGATAACATTTTGTAAACTTTTTAAAAATCAAGAATAGTGTAATTCTTTGCCATTGAGGAGTACTTACAAATAGGTAGATTTCTTTATCATTTGATGCACAATTTGCTCAAAACTTCTATTTTTCTATAATAATGACTAGCAACAGCAACAATAATAATAGCTATCATAGATTGAACACTTACATCTAAGCATTGTGCTAAATGTTTTGCATGAATTGTCTTATCTAACATTTGCAAAAATCCTAAAGATATACATATTTTAAAAATATATATATATATCTGTAGTCTCCATTGCACTTTGGCTTCTCCAAATAATTATGGTTCTAAATAAGCACATCCTCAAACTAAAATTCCTTATTGTCAAATAAAAAAGATATCATATATCATTTAGGATTATGTTTAGCTTTAGCTAGAGGTAAACTCAATTTAGAGTGGCTTAACCAAATAGGTATTTTATAAGCCTAGTGTTCCTGAATATTCCTTGGAAACTTCATGAGAATGTCCCTCACCCCCAAAATTAATGTATTTACTATGTTTAAGGGGAAAATGTGTATGAAAACTCAAATTAAGGGGCACCTGGATGGCTCAGTTGGTTGAGCATCCGACTTCGGCTCAGGTGATGATCTCATGGGTCGTGAGTTCAAGCCCCAGGTCAGACTCTGTGCTGACAGCTCAGAGCCTGGAGCCTGCTTCATATTCTGTCTCCATCTCTCTCTCTCTCTCTGCCTCTCCTCTGCTTTTGCTCTCTCTCTCTCTGTCTTTCAAATATAAGTAAATGTTAAAAAGTTTTTTAAAAACTCAAGTGTTTCCTCTACACTCAAGGTTTTACATTTAGAATATTATCACTTCTGGCTAAATTTTTCAAATATCTTTTCACAAGATATCAATTCTTCATTTTGAGATTGTCTTTACGACTTTGTTGGTATTAACATGGCCTTTCTTTTACAAGCTGATGATCGTGAAGATGAAGTATGGTAGTAAGTTTATTTGTTTTATATGTGTGTGTCCTTATTTAGTAAAATGGCTTGGTGAAGGATGCCTGTGTGGCTCATTTGGTTGAGTGTCTGACTCTTGATTGTGACCTAGGTTGTGATATCAGATTGTGGGTTTGAGCCTTATGTCTCTGCGGATGGTACGAACCTGCTTGGGATCCTGTCTCCCTCTCTCTCTGCTCCTCCCCCACTCACACCCTTTATGTCTTCCTGTCAGAATAAATAAACTTTACTAAAAAAGAAA